TTCCTGGTCTGGGTATTACAAGACTCCTCAGTCCGAGACCACCCAACCTTATGGGAGAACAAATTACCCCCCAGTTAACCAAATGTAATTTTCTCTCCTCTAATCCTCCCCAAACTTCCTTTGGATCCTCTCTAATCTTTTTGCCACTGCAACAGAAATTGGAAACAATGACAAGAAATAAGTAGGAAGATTCGACAACGTAGACTTTATGAGAGTGAGACGGGGCCTCCCTTTGATAGGTACATACGCTTCCAACCCGCTAGCCTTATCTCCACCGTTTCCACAATACTGTTCTACATCTGTGTACTTTTCAACTGTGCTCTTAACGGGAGCCCGAGATATGTCATAGGCAGTTGTGCAATCCTGCATCCCAATATTGCAGCTAACTCCTCCACGTTATCGACTTCTTCCATTGTGCTAGCCTAAGATTTTCCCAAATTTATTTTCAATCCAGATACGGCCTCAAAGCATAGGAGCAAACGACGCAAATTCCTAAATTGCTCAGCATCCGCATCACAGAAAATTAGCGTATCATCTGCAAATAGCAAATGAGAAACCTGCAACTGCTCAACAAAAAAGCCCTTAAACAAACTTTCCCCCACAATCTTTTCAAGCATCCTACTAAAGGCTTCCATTATAATGACAAACAGCAATGGAGACGGATCCACTTGCCTCAATCCTCCGCTACTACGAAAATAACCCTCTGGAGTGCCATTCACCAAAACTGAGAAAGAAACTGTAGAGATACAAAACTGAATCCACCGGCACCACCTCTTCTTAAAACCACATCGCCTGAGCATATACAAAATAAATCCCCAGCTAACGTGATCATAAGCCTTCTAAATGTCAAGCTTATATAACATTCATGGAACCCCCAGACGCAGTCTTGAGTCAATACATTCATTTGCTATAAGTATGGAATCCAAAATCTGGCGCCCTTTAACGAAAACATTTTGAAATTTTGACACTACTTTCCCCAAAACCTCATTTAATCTATTCGCCAAAATCTTTGCAATAATCTTGTAAATCCCACTTACTAGGCTAATAGGACGAAAGTCCTTAATATCTGTTACTCCCGGTTTTTTAGGAATTAGCACAAAAAATGTAGTATTAGCACTTCTTAAGAACCTTGCACGCTGGAAAAAATATGCAAGGACATCCACAATACCTGACCGTACCACTTCCCAACAAGCCTTATTGAATGAGAAAGAGAACTTGTCGGGTCCTGGAGTCTTATCGTTATTCATGCTGAACACCACCTCCCTAATTTCATCCTCTTCAAATAGTCTCTCTAACCAACTAGCATCCTCCTCATTAATAGTAGAAAAATCTAACCCCTTCAATTCTGGTCTCCAGTCCCATTGCTCACGATAAAGAGTCTGATAAAAGCTTACCATTTGGGTCCCGATATCCTGTGGATCCTCATAAGTTACCCCCGTCTACCTCCAACATATTAATAGAATTGTTGCGCCTATTAGAATTAGCAACCTTATGGAAAAATTGGGTGCATTTGTCCCCCTCTTCCAACCGTTTGACAATAGATTTACGACGCCGAGCTGTCTCCTCTATCTCCACTAACCTCTCTAACTCTTTCCTTAATTCTCCACGTCTCGCCATATCATCCCCTACCAGTCCTCGACTTTTCTCCCTTCTATCCAACTCTTCTATAACTGAGAGGCATTGATTTTTACGATATGTAACATCTCCCATTACCTCCTCATTCCACCTCTTAAGATCCCTATTCAATGCTTTCAATTTCCGATCGAACACATAACTGGGAGACCCTCTGAAGTCATAAGATGTCCACCAAGTCCGAACTCGTTCCTCAAAACCTTCAACTTTAAGCCACATCTTCTCAAACCTGAAGGGTTTTCCTCTAATGCACCTATCATTCCCAGATAACGAAATAGGGAAATGGTCTGAATACAACCTCCCAATCTTCTCTGGGTGACCTTTGGGTACTTAGCCTCCCACTCACCACATACCAAAAACCATCAATTCTGGAATGGACATGTTGGTCTCGATTAGATAATTAAGTAAAGTCTCCCCCAATCGTAGGCAAGTCCACCAACATGTTCTCCCTGATCAAATCTGAAAAGTCCTCCATAGCCCTTGTTAATCTCCTCCCATTAGATCTCTCGGTAGAAAATCGAACCACATTAAAATCACATCCAATACACGTTGGGAGGTTCCACCAAGTCATTCATAAAGAATAACATGAAGAGAAGAAAGGTAAACTATTTTTTGGATGGTCGAATCAATATTCTTCACCAAGTTGCCTTTGCCTCTTTGATTTCTTTAATCTTGCCGCCTTTGAATTGTAGTTGAAAAGTGGTTTTTAGGTTGTATTTATATCATGAAGTCTTGGAAGGGTTAGGGTTGGATTGGGCCAAGGAAAGAGTTCAAAAAAATCAAAACATTATTTCCGCACGGCGGCGCCTCAATGCTAGCACCGCTGCGCAGCGACTCTTCTTGCAGTGGTGCTGAGGCGCCATGTGTGTGGCGCCGTTCTGCTTCTTCTGTTCTCAGCGCCAGAACTCTGCCCCTTTTTTTCTCCTGAGCCATTTCACCGTGACGCCATGGCTGTGGCGCCGCTTTTCTGACTTTTTCTTCTCCTTTTCTTCCCTTCTTTTGCAACTTTTTTCACCACTTTAATAAACCTATATGACAACATCAAAACACGCATAAATATGTTCTAAATACTGTCAAGAACAACTAAATAACAAGTTAAAGTGGTATTAAAACAATGAGTGAAATACACTCATTAGAAAAACAGTTGGGACTTTAAATTTCTCTCGCTTCCATCTTTATTTTCTCTTGCTTTCTATTTATAGCAAGAGCCATGAATATAATTTTCCCATCCTCTATTTTTTTTTCCTCCTTTCTTTTTCTTTCCACTTGAACCAATCATTCCTGTAAACTTTTGATTAACAAGGAAATGTGCTCTCTGAAGCACATGAGATCAGGATTACCCAACAAGGAAAGAGAATAATTGTTTACTGGTTCGCCCACCTTTATTCTTTTCCTTTCTTGGCTTCTGTCTGTGATGTTAAAAACGACATCAAATACTATGATACCTACTATTATGCTAGTCAAATTATGAGAACTGAGAGAGAACTAATGCTGACCCAAAATTGGTTTAAATTTGTATCTACTATCAAAAGTTCCCCATTAGCTTCTTGCCTACATCTGTCGCTTGCCATCCAGTGTTGATGATTAAGAATGTGATTTTTAATAGTCTTTTATTGAAGGTACGCGCTAGAATCTCACTAAATTTTGTGTATGTTTTTTTTCAACTCAAAAGGTTTAGTTCTGTGACTGAGCGCTTCTTCATGGAACTCAACACTCGTCGAATTGACACCAGCGTTGCTCGAAGTGAAACACTTTGTATTATCAATGGGTTGCGCTACCTTAAACTTGGGGTATGTGTGATTAGATTCTCTGTTAATTTATGTGGAAGCATTTATATAATGATAAGGTGATTATCAGGTCAAAACAGAGGGCGGTCTAAATGCATCAGCTTCCTTTGTTGCTAAAGCCAACCCTCTAATTCGAGCTCCTCATAAACGGAAAAGTGAACTTCATCATGCTCTATGCAATATGCTTTCGAACATTCTAGCTCCCCTTGCTGATGGTGGCAAAGGTCAGTGGCCTCCTACAGGTGTTGAACCTGCACTCACCTTTTGGTATGAAGCCGTTGCACGAATAAGAGGGCAGCTCATGCACTGGATGGACAAACAAAGTAAACATATAGCTGTAAGTATCAGGGCATAGGGATACAGGGAAAAAAATTTCTTTTTTCTTTAGCTTTTTCTGTTTTAATTTTTTGTTAAATTTAGGTAATATTCATCTTACTAGCTGGGAACAGAAAGATCTCTCCACAAATTTTAGGATCTCTAACTTTATCTATTTTAGTGCACTATAAACCTGGAAGAAATGATGGGAAATAATAATGCCAGTTCAAGATGAGTTTCTAAGAACGATGTACGATCCTCCATTGCTTACTTCCTGTAGAAATAATTGAACCATGCTCTGGTAGATCAAATGTTTATCTGGCATCATTATTTCTCAGAACAGTTCCATCCATTGCTCTTTGACGTGTTGTCTTAGCAGGCTTTAGCTTTCTATTATGTAGTCTAAAAAAACTAACTGTGCGTTTGATTTACTGTTTTCAAGCTATTTTCAGTTTTTTTTTTTTTTTTGATAGATAATCATGGAATTTTATAAATCAAAATCAAAAGATAATACACAAGAAGTGCATTATCAGTTTAAACAAGAACAAAACACTAAAAAATTAGACAAGCCTTTTATCGGACTAGTGGTTGCAGCGGTGAACCAACTATACAGAGTCGAATAAAAAAATTCTCTAAATTACTCTATCGTCAGTGTTCGAACTTCAAAGCACCGGTTGTTTCATACTCTCAATACACACCAAATAATGCAACCAGGAATGAGATCCAAAACAAGTTTGCAATTTTTATCACGCAACTTTCTCTTTTGATTTACTGTTTTCAAGCTATTTTCAGTTTTTTTTTTGATAGATAATCATGGAATTTTATAAATCAAAATCAAAAGATAATACACAAGAAGTGCATTATCAGTTTAAACAAGAACCAAACACTAAAAAATTAGACAACCCTTTTATCGGACTAGTGGTTGCAGCGGTGAACCAACTATACAGAGTCGAATAAAAAAATTCTCTAAATTGCTCTATCGTCAGTGTTCGATCTTCAAAGCACCGGTTGTTTCTTTCTCTCCATACACACCAAATAATGCAACCTGGAATGAGATCC